ACAATAACAGTAACAACAACTTTTTGACAAGTTTAAAGTTTCTTTAAAACACATTAAAAATATTAAAAAATAAACTACACAAAAAAATAATTTGATAAAGTGCAAATTAAAATATACCAGTATCTGCAACTGTATTTGATAATGTTTTGAACTTTTAAAAGGTAAAACCAGAAGCTGCTATTCATATTAGTGACAAACTTTGGCATTTTTTGATGAGTTACCTTCATTTTTGCTTCTACTTTTCTTTTAAAATAAGTTTCCATTCTCGGCAGGTTTCTAAGGTTTTTCTTCTACATATTAAAAAAGTTGTTAAACATCTGAGTGGTGCACTACTGCTACTAGTGGTGAGAAAGTGTATTACACCCTATTCAAAATTAATGCTGTCCTGCGGCCCTCTGCGGCCCAAAATTTAAAACTGTTGTTCTTTTGAGGCCCTCAAGGTGACGTTTGCGGCCCACAATTGGGCTGCGGCCCATGGGTTAAGAATCTCTGGACTAGATTACCGTGTTTGTGTCTGTCAGTATAAGATCTCACAAACAACTGGGTATATTTTTGTGAAACAGAAACTAATGGTTGGATGTATATCTACAGCTGAATAATCTTTGGAGGCAACCCAATTCAAGATATCTGCCGCTGCTAATTGACCTCAGCCAACACAACAACTGCTATAATTAAGTCAGTTTTGAACTCAACATACACTGAGTGCGGCATCTCATGAGATTGTGTATAACACTATTTCAGTAMAATCCAGTTTATTTTATTAGGTCCCCAAAGGGCAATTGATTTGCAACAAGTTGCACAAGCTTTGCACAACAAAATAAGAAGGTCTATCGATGACGAATGTCAAAAAAATAATAAAGTTAGATAAATAATACATAAAAACATGGGCTAAAAATTCAATTGGACTGCAGCAATTCGATAGCAACCTTAAGTCAGGGCATTAAACACACAGAACGCACAGATTTGTTCTTAAGTTGTGCGTACGAGTGATTTAGGAGAATTTGTGGCATTAACCAATTTTCTCATATTCTAAGATTTTCTTCAGATACGAACTAAATTCAAGAGTGGTAGTGGTGTGCGACTGCTCTTCTTCTRAATAAATGTAAACACAGTAACAGTTGTTTACACTTGAATTAAAAATATTTGACCAAAGAAAAACCGGAGCAGGATTAGAGAGAGATGAATATGATTTAGATTTTTTTTTTTCTGAGACGACCCACAGGAGACACAACATTAACAGCAGTTTCATTCGTCAGCTTTAGCAGGTCTGACGCTGCTAAAGCTGACAGATTTTTTTTGTCTGGATCTCCGAGAGCAGGACTTCAATCTCCGAACTCATAAAGTTCTTCTTTTTTACTTTGCGATGTCACTTATGAATGGACACTTCCTGGTATGTGAGGCAGGTAAATGTATATCCTTATATGGTGTTTTTGGGGTGGTAATTATGCTAATCACCTCTCCTCGTGCACAAACACCTGATACACATTCATCAGTTTACACAGCTCATTTACACACTTTTCTTGAAGATAGAAGAGTTTGTTGAATCTGACGTGACATGTTCATACGAACAAAAGTAAGAGCAATTAAGTATAAGAATACGAACATGTTCTTCACTAAGGCCCAGTGATTGTGTGGATAAAAGGGTGCTTCAGTCTGTTTTTTCTACACCTAGGTAGACCATAACTCCTACTTGTTCAGCACAAAACAARCAATGGCTTCTTTCTACTGCTGTTGGTACACTAATTMTATTGTGTCCTTACAAAACCTCCATATTTAAGAACACCATGGTCACAGCCCTTAAGGCTGTCCCTCTTACGTCAGCACTGATATACTGGAAATCTTTAAGTCTTTGTGGACTTGTTTGCGGAGGAACACACATATTAAGTAGAAGCATGCTGATTCTCTTCCTGTTTAAAATAAATGATTACAACTGATCACAAAATATAMGATATAAGACTGTACCTAAAATTCAGTTTATCAATTCCCTTAAATACTATCCCAAGATAACAAAAATTATGTCAACGCAAAACTATGTTAATAATATGAAAGCAGATATTTGTTTATCAAACATCTATGCATCACAACAGAATATTTCTAAACATTTCCCAACCCCAAAATTAAAAATTTTAGGAGGAGATTAAACTGAGTGTGTAGGTTTAAGGTTGGAAGAAAATAAGCAGCCATAACTCATCATTTCTCAGCAGCAGATGATCTCTCATGATGACCGTCATGAAAGGCGGYGGGTGATATGCATTTCTTCTACCAACTTTAGGCTTTTAATTTAATATGTGGCTGCAGGCGCTGTCACAGAGCCCTTGTCCCATTCTATTTTCCATCTAACCAGTTACATATGTCTTTGACGGATGATTAATTTAACCGTTTATTTTTCTCAGGGTGTGCCGGTGCACTGCAAATAGTTTAAAAGCTTGCAGGGTTAGTTCCTTTCACTGGGAGCTCGTTGACTGAAGGGTGTAGAATAATAACTGCGGTTCCCACAGACGTCTTTTCCTTTTAATTAGTTTGGTAAGCTCAGATGAGACTGATCATCCTAAAAAAAGAGACTAAAGTTGACTAAAGTCTACTTTAAGTTAAAATCTGGCCTRCCTTTATGCTGACACATTATTAGAGTGGATTTTTAAACTGAAAGATCAGGCTGGTGCTGTGGGGTGTGTCTTGTTGCTCCGGTAAACTTTAAAACCACGTCACACCGATGTAGCTAAYGCCATGCTAAGTGGCTCGCCTACATTTTAGTGTGTCTTTGTTTGAACCCTGGAAACATGAACCCTCTAGCTTTTATTTATTTGTAAATGGTTGCACTCTTCCCCCACACGCGTTACRTTGTTTCTGCTGCTCCGCACCAGGTACTGTCGGTGTCGCAGCAGTGACCGCTGGCCCGGGTCTTACGAACACCGTAACCGCCGTGAAGAATGCCCAAATGGCCGAATCTCCACTGCTGCTCCTAGGAGGAGCTGCTGGTACATTACTACAGGTGGGTTATTTYCAAACATTACGTGACGTGTGCTCTGTTAGGAGCAGGGTGTTGTGCTGTTTGCCAGATRCTGCGTGCTTTAACTCTTGAAATAAACTACGTTTGTTTGGCGCAGGGCAGAGGAGCGCTGCAAGACATCGACCAGTTGTCTCTCTTCAAGCCTCTGTGTAAGTTCTGTGCCTCCATCCGGACAGTCCGGGAGATCGTGCCCACACTCAGGAAGGCCCTGGCGGTGGCTCAGTCCGGAACCCCGGGTCCTGTTTTCATAGAGTTCCCCATTGACACCCTGTACCCRTACCATCTGGTGTCCAAAGAGTTTGCTGTTAAGAACCCTCCCAAAGGCCTGATGGGAAAAATCGTCTCATGGTACGTTATCAAAATGTAGTATTCTGATTAATATATAATAACAGTAATAGCAAGCATATTTTTAAATGAATCRGTAAACTGTTAAATATAAATGTTGTGGATGAATATTTGTAAGGTACCTCAACAACCACCTCATGAACCTTTTCGCTGGCGCCTGGGAGACCAGAGACGTTTCTCCACTTCCTGTTCACATCCCTCAGGCTACAGACGATCAGGTAGTCCTGCTCCTAATACACCTCTGGTACTTCACTGTTCAAGATGTAGTGTGGTTTTTTTTAGATGAATACCTTTCATTAGATACTTTTCTCAATGAATGCAGGAATAAAGGGCATCAACCAGTTTTTTTTTTCAATGAAACAAATCAGGTACAAAAGTGTATAGAGCTGGTGAGCCGAGCCAAGAAACCGGTCGTTCTTCTGGGAAGCCAAGCGACACTTCCACCAACACCAGTGGATGATATCAGGTAAATAAACATCTTGTGTGTTTTTTACAAAATGCTGATTCAATTTGAGCAGTCAGTTTTTTGTATTAAGCTTATAGCTACTATCATGGTGGTCCTTATTTTTTCATAGTTAAACTTTTTCTCTTCCTCTGCAAACACAAATCCTGTATTTAAAACCATTTCTGCTCTCTAGGAAGGCTTTGGAGGACCTAGGCATCCCCTGCTTTCTTGGRGGAATGTCTCGTGGCATGCTGGGTAAAGACAGCCCGATACACATTCGACAGAACAGGCGAGACGCTCTAAAAGAGGCCGACTTGGTTCTCTTAGCAGGTGAGACTTTAGTCGTTTGTAGAAAGACTTTATCTAGTCTTTGYACAAAGCAAACCGGTGGCTGTGAAACAGGGTTTAGACCAGGGGGTGGGCAGTCCTGGTCCTCGAGGGCCGCAGCCCTGCATGTTTTACTTGTTTCCCTGCTCCAACACACCTGATTCAGTCACTGGATTACCTCTTCCAAGTTCTGCAGAAGCCTGAAAATCACTCATTACAGTAATTCAAATCCGGTGTGTTGGAGCAGAGAAACTAGTAAAATGTGCAGGGCTGCGGACCTCGAGGACTAGTTTTTCTCATTATCATTCATTATATACAGTATGTATGTATGTGTGTGTGTGTGAGTATATATATATATA